GAGTTCGATCTCCGGTACCAAAAAAAAAAAAAAAAAAAAAAAGAGCCTTTAAGACCCTTACACGAATCTCCAAAGCCCTGTTAGGATCTCCGCCTTTCAGGCTAAGGACTCCAAGTGCAAATAACCTGCTTTTGCTCCCGTTGCCAGGGTAACAGCCACAAAGTCAATTCGGCCACCGTAACTGTTCCCAGAATGCCGCGCGCCTTCACGCTCTTCCAAGGTCCGACTCCTTCCAGAGACCCGTGTCAGTTGGTCTCGCGAGGGTTGCTGGCAGGATGTTAGAATTGGCAGACTTGAGCATATTTTTGGGAAGGACAGTAAGGACTGTTCCCCACCCCCCCCAACTTTGCAAGCAATTAGAAGGCTAAGGAAAGGGCATAATCTCACGGAATTTTTGTTGATTCTTAATCAGTGGATTAGATGTTATTAGAAAAATGGAAAGGTGATGTATATTTTAAGTAACCTGAGTTAGCCATTCCACAATGTATACATATTTTAAAACATGTTGTAGATCATAAATATATATTTTATTTGTAAAAAAATAAAATAGCGTTTAAAGTTAAAAAGCTGAGCCCAGCGTGTTGATATACACCTGTAATCCCCAGACTCGGGAGGCTGAGGCAGGAGTATCACTGTGAGTTCGAGGTCAACCTGGGCTACATAGTGAGTTCAAGACCAGCTTGAACTACATAGTAAGACTCTGTCTCAAACAATAAACAACAACAATAGAAGTTAAAAAGCTGAAAGGTGGTAAACCTTAATGTGTAACTTCATTTGTTACTGAAATAGTTAAATAACTTTAACCTATTTCCTATAAAAAGTAATTATTTTTGCTTTACAAAATGAAGGCAAGGAAAAAATGAAACAACACAAAACCCCCAAATCCCATCTACTCAGAGACAACCATGGTGAACACTTTGGTGGATTCTTCCAGACCCTTTGTATGCATAGAGTAAAAAAAAATTCAAAAGAGAATCACACTGTATATACTGTTTTGCAACTTAAATAACTTTAAATGAATATTTCATTAAAAAAGACTATGGTAAAAAAAAAAGACTATGGTTGCATGTATTCCATTATACCTCTTATTGGACATTTAAGCTGTTTCTGTTCTTTTTGCTCCTAATTAGTACTGCGAAGGAGAAATGAAAAGCCCAATAGCTAAACCTGCCCCCACTCATTTGTTTGTGGTGACTATTTTTCTTTTTTAAAGTCCTTTATATATGTACTTCCTATCTTTCCCCAATGCCTTTGCAGTCCACCCTGTCTTTCTAGTGTACGTGGATGAAGTTACACATATGGTATGGTATACACCCAATTTTTTTAAAGCTTATTTTTATGATTATAAAGGCAACTCATGCTTATTGTAGAATTTTTTTTTTTGGTGCTGGGGATTGAACTCAGGACATCACACTTGCCAGGCAGGCGCTGTGCCCCTGAGCTACATCCCCAGCCCTAGAACATTATGGAAGAGTATAATAAAAATTCTAATACCTAGATGACCACTGATAGTTTGGTATATATTTTCTTTCTCTGTTCCTTTTACAGTGAGTGTTGAAGAAGTGTTTGCTAATTTGGCAGGGAAATAAATATTGCAGCTTTTAATTTGCACATTTTTGCTTTTTAATTTGCACATCATGTAGCTGAATAATATTTCAAATACTATTTCAAATGTTTACAGGCTTTGGTCTATTTTAGTCCTTACTTTCTCTAGTTTTCCTTCAGTATTCCAAACCAATCATATTGAATTGTAATACCTTAGTTTTGTACATGTGTAGGTTTTTTTTTTTTTGATAATAGGAATTGAACTCGGGACCTTGCACTTATGAGGCAGGTGGCGGAACCACTGAGCTAAATCCCCAGCCCTGTACATGTATAGGTTTTAATTCTTTCAGCTATGTTGAAAGCTGGTTGTATAGTCCTGAATAAATTGTTTAATTTTGCTGAGCCCACTTTCCTTAGGGATAATTAGGGACAATTCTACTTGTTTTGCAGGGTTGCAGTAAGGATTAGAAATAATGTATCCAAGGTGAATTCAATTAACTATCTACTTTTTTTAATTTATAGCTTTAGCGGTCTGTGTACATAGGTGTTTATATGTTTATATTTCAAATGAATGAGTGCTCTTAGCATCCCACTCAATTTAGACATTTACTGAACACATGTGACATAAACTGCTGTTCATAATTTTCAAGGCCTCATGTGACTATATTTATTGAGGTATATTTTGTATGTAAACCATATATTCAGCTTCAGGTCGGGTCTCCCCCCCCCGCCCCGCCCCCTAGTGCTGGCGATTGAACAAGGACCTGGCATGTTAGGCAAAGTGCTCTGTTACCAAGCTACGCTTTCAAAGAAGCTCATTTATCTGTTTCCTCATATTCTACACCCTGCCTGGCCCATTATAGTAAGTGCTGAATAAAGGTGTGAACTGAGTTGAATAATTTACTGAGAAAAGAAAAACAGAGAAAACCTGGCAGGCTGTGATAAAAGCAATAATGAGTACAAAGAAGTTTGTACTTTGGGAGATCAAGAGACATTAATGTTAAGGGACCTGGTAATACCCCAGTCTGAGGGACTAAGAAAAAGAGTTTAAAGGCAGAAGTAACAGTAACAGTCAAGGCTTGGAGGTAGAAGTAAACAGGTTGCGTTTTGTTATCAGTTTTTTGGGGTGGCAAGAGGGTGGATGAATGGGTTCAGATGAGCTAGGAAAAAAGCACCATAGTTGGGTCCCACATTCTGAGGATTTTGATTCTTTATAGTTTCCGAACTTTTTTTTGGTACCGGGGATTGAACTCTGGACCTTGCGTTTGCGAGGCAGGCGGCAGAACCACTGAGCTAAATCCCCGGCCCTTTCGAACTTTTTTGAAAAACATCGCTTTCAGTATGGTCTGGGGCATCCCTGGCTAGAATGGGTCAGAGGGACGACAGGGGTCTGGAAAACATGTGGGCTAGAGATGGCAACTGTCCTGCTCATGGGGAAGTCAGGGAGTGGTGGCTGGCAGAGACCTTCAACGACAGATGGGGACTTAGGGGCTACTGTTGGCCAGGAAGAGAGGAAGGAGTGTCCACGAGGAGGAGGACACCCTTAGCAGTTCAACAGGAAGTAGAAAGCTGCGGAGCGACGTTTAAGTGGAGTGCACACCACACAGAGCTGCAGCACCGGAAGTTCACGGAATCCGCCCGCAAAAATCTTCGGCGCAAGTCCCGCCCCTTCCTACCCAGCGGCCCCGCCCCTCCCCACCCAGCGCCCCGCCCCTCCCACGTAGCCTCGCACTCCATCTGGCTACGCCCCCCCGTGACCACGCCCCACTCCATGTCCGGATCCACTTTCAGAGACCCCGCGCTCCGCTCCGCTCTTGAAAGGCTAATAGCCTGGGGGCGCGGCCCACAAACCCCGCCCCTCCCCACCCAGCGCCCCGCCCCTCCCACGTAGCCTCGCACTCCATCTGGCTACGCCCCCCCGTGACCACACCCCACTCCGTGTCCGGATCCACTTTCAGAGACCCCGCGCCCTATGTTGGTCGGGCTGCTGCGCTTGGGATTGGCCCTGGGAAGGAGGGCCTGCGGGTGGTAGGGTTGGGGGGAGCTGGGTTACATTTTCCCGTCTCATTCCCCGCCGCCGGAGCAGGGAGGTAGCAGGGGCATGGCGAGAGCTGGGGACGGGCGCGGGCCTTGCTCCGCGGCGGGAGAGCAGCCGCTGAACCAGCAGCAGCAGCAGCAGCAAGGCACCAGCCAGGTCTACCCCGAGCGGCTGGCCGAAGGGAGGCCCCAGCAAGGGCTCTTTTCCAGATTCTTGACCCATAACCAAAAGTGCCAGCTCATGCTCCTGAAGACGCTCGAGACAAGTAGGAGTCTTGACCTGGAGCCTAGGGTTGGCGGGGTGGTTTCTGAGACCCGGTTGGGGAGGAAGGGCCTGGGTTCCGCTCAGCCGGGGCTTCTGGTTCGGCTTAGGTGCTGCATGGGCGGGATTCCAGGCTCTCCCGCTCCAAGGGGGGGGGCACATTCGGCGTCCTGAAGGTGGAGGTGGGGGCCCGGGCCTCAGTTTCCCCACTGGAGGAGGCGCTGAGGCCTCTTAGCACTACTTTTGCCCGGTGGAATGAATAAGGTCGGACTAGGAGTTTGCCCTTGTGGGCCATACTCACGGATTTCTTGTGTAACTTGTGCAGCAACACGGAGACGTGAGTGTCTGGTTAGGAGTCCCTTTAATTCAGGTATAGCTATTGCTGGCAGTGCAAAATCAGTTTTGTAAAGCTGCTCTTCGATAGAAGGAATTCTTAACCTTGGTGCATGGGTGGGCTGAGTGTAGAAACGCCCCCCCCCCCCGACCGTGTGCATATGCACCCACGTGTATTTTTCTGGAGAGAGCTCATAGCTTAAAAATTAAGAACTATTGCTGTGGGTTAAATACGATCCAGCTGCCCACTGATCAATTTCTCTTCAGTCCCAGAATATTGTACTAGAGATTTCTTAACGCCTTTGCATTGGCATAGACTTCTTAAGTCTACTTCAGATAACATTTAGGAAATTAAAGTTTTTAAACATACTTGTCTTAAAGCAAGGTTACTGTTTTAATAGCTGACCAGTGATACTTCAAAATCAACTACACAAAAAATTTCCAACCTTCTTGGGATTACTTGCATAACGGGAAAATCTGCAGATGAGAGGAGGAAGGAGAGGAAATGTTGAAGTATATGCTTTACAAATGCATTGAAGGCCTCCTAGGTTGTAGTGGAGCGAGGTACAAAGCTGAGTAAGGACTCTGCCTTTAAGGGGTTTCAAAGTGGAATACAGTGTAAAGAACTTGAGCAGCAGAATAAGAGCTGGATTCAAATTCTAATTCCTCTCCTTAGTAGGTATGGAAGAGCAACTTAACCTCTCTAATCTAGTCTATACTTATCTGTAAAAGAAAAGGTGGAGGGCCTGGTATTTAGCTCAGTGGCTCTGTTGCAGCGCAAGGTCCTGAGTTCGATCTCCGGTACCAAAAAAAAAAAAAAATGGTGGAGGGGAGAGGAATAAGAATACCTCTTTTAGGACTGTGAGGAATAGATTTTGGTGACATGAAAGTGCCAGTATATCAGGAGCTGAATAAAGGGTAGCTGATCATACAGTGGAAGGCCCAGATCGAAATGGACAAGTTGAGGTAGAATGTGAGGAGGGTGGGGGCTTGAACTTGATCCCAGGAGGAATCAGCCAGTCAGGCTTCAAGGGAGAAGCTTGAATGATAATGCACTTAGTATGATTCCTGGCACTGGCACATACTGTATACTCACTCAGTTAATGATATTATTAGGAATAATTATTCTGTTAACACTTTTAAGAGGGAGCAGTTTAGTAGAGCAGTAACCTATACCTAACTTCTTTAAGGTTTTTTTTTTTGCTTTCAACATTTAAAAAAATCTTTGTTTCTTTTTGTTTTTTTTGGAGGAGGTTCTGTCCTCTGCATTTATACCCTCAGACAAGATGGCTGTGGGCAAAGTTGAAATTAGAGGCACCTGGGCTCACTGTGCTTGGCTATAGCAGTCACAGGCTCACCAGGTCTTAGGAGTGGATGGGCCCTCAGGGAGCATCTGGGCTTCCCCACCCCGTACAGGAAAACCTATGTAACATCACTGACCCTGTGTCTTTGTGTCTTTAGACCTCTCCTGGATCAGGTTACCTATTCCTGGAGGCTCACTGAATCTATTCTGTTCTGACAGCTTTAATTGTTGGAAAAATCTTTTCAGAGTTGCAGTGTGCCACATGTAATTTCTACTCTTTTGTCTTTGTTCTGCCCTTTGAAGCAATATTGATTGACTCTGTCCCTACTTGGCACCCTTTTAATATCTGAAGCCACTGTGGTCCTAGTTAAGTTTTCTCTTTTTGATACCCCCAAATCCTTTCTTGCTTCTTCCCAAGCATTATCTCACACTATTTTAGTTGCCTTACCCCATGAAGAACTTCAGTTACAGGCTCCTTCTGCAGTTTGGTAAGCAGAATGAGACACAGTGCTGTCAGTGTGATCTGACCAGCACAGAGAACAGTGTAGCCACTGCCTTCCTCAGATCTGGGTACTGTGCCATTTTCAAAAAAATTTTTTATGAAATGTGTCCAGGATTCCTCCAATCTTTAGGTATACATTACACAAGGTGTTTGGTCATTTAACTAAAAAAGATCTTTTGAGTCTATCCAAGATGCTTGGTGGTACCATATTGGTACCATTGGTATTCATATTAGTGTTCTATTTCATTGAAGACTTGCTTTGATGTTAATTTAAATGTGTTATATCCATTTTTTTCAATTTTAAGATAGAATTACTTGTGATTTGTAAGTTACTTTATGATAATGTTTTATACTGCTATTTGGATAATTTAATTGGTGCTAATTTTTCTAATTGGCATACTTAATTGAATCAATGTCTTTTTTAGATCCGTATGTCAAACTTCTACTTGATGCTATGAAGCACTCAGGTTGGTAAGTAAATCTTCTAAATGCTTTTCTATATTCTGGCTACCAAAACCAAAAAGTTAAAATATCAGTGCTACTTAAGAGTTCAGTCCATCAAGCCTTTTCCATGGGATAGATAATGATTCTCTCCAGGCAGGCCTTGTTCTCTTTTGCTATTTTTTGTCTTAATAAAGTTTCTGTTCAACTTGGGTATTAGTAAAGCTAGTACTCAAACTCTTTTGTATAAGTACCAAACCTACCCTTTAGGCATTGTCCATATGGAGAGGAAATCTCAGTTTGGTATGTAGCAGTCTTCCAGCTGTTAACTTTGAGGGTATTAGAGGAAATGATTTCTCAGGTGCACTTTTAAACATTCTGGCTCAAGAGCAGGAACTCTAGTGTGTTTTTTTTGGTACCGGGAATTGAGTCCAGTGTATTTACAATATGGTTTTAATCAGTTAACCAAAGGGTCTGTGTAATCATATCATACATAGAATTTGAACTAGGATGAATTTTGCAGAGACAGTCTTCCTGTTTTTTTTTTTTTGGTACCGGGCATTGAACTCGGGTCCTTGCACTTGCATAGCAGGCGTTGAAACCACTGAGCTAAATCCCCGGCCAGTCTTCTTGTTTTGCACATGAGAAAACTTGAGTCCTGAGGTGTTAAGTTGCTTTCCCAAAGTTTCATGTGTGTTGGTGGTGGATGGGATTTACTATAAGGTGAAAGGTCTCCTGACTCCTGGCTCACAGCTTTCCCTATATACACAGTTCTTCTGGACATTGTCCCTTTAATCTGTTCTTATCTTTTAGTGCTGTTAACAAAGAAAGACACTTCTCTTGTGAAGATTGTAATGGAAATGTCAGTGGAGGTTTTGATGCTTCATCATCTCAGGTAGGCTTTTTCTGCCAATTGTCTTCTTCCTTTTCATCCTTTCTCCTGATACTTGACGAGCAGCTTCCACATGCTGGGCATTCTGTTTGGTAGATTTTGTATTTGACTCAGAAACAATGAATTAATTATGATCCTGACACTTAAGGAGTTCATACTATAGGAGATAAGACATAAACTTTGAGCCAGGTTAAACTATTTCAGATGGGCTTGGTGTTAGCCTTTTTTTTGGGGGGGTGCTGTAATAAGTATATGAGGTTAATCAACTTATAATGAGGAAAAGTTTATTTTGGCTCATGTGTGATTACTTGGTCTCACTGCCTTTGTGGTCTGTGGTGAGGCAGGACACCATGGTGGGAGTGCAAGGAAGTGCCTCATTGGTGGCTGGGAAGTGAAAAAGGGGACAGGAGAGGGTTGGGGCTCCCATGTCCCCTTCAAGAGCATGGTCCATCAGTGACCTTACTTCCTAAAGTTTCCCCACCCCCAATAGTGCTACAGATTGGGGACCAAAGCTTCAACCTATGGGCTTGTGGGGGACATTCAAGGTCCAAACTAAAGCACTTGGTTACCACAGTGGGACAGTGATGTGGAATGGGGTAGCATTTGGTTGAAAGATACCCACAAATTCATCTAGAGGATATGAAGCTTCCTTTGGGGCAGAGAAGACAAAGACTGTTGCCCAAGCAGCAGCAGCACGAGCAGAAGTGGCATGCTGGGAAAGGACAAGGAATGTTAGGGAATGGCATATTGGCTAGTTTTAACTGGAGGGCAGGAACATATGGAAAGTAAGGGGAACAGGATTGGAAAGAAAGGCGAGCCAGATGATGGAAAACTTTGAATACTAAGTGAAAGGATTAAACCTTTATGTGGTAAGAAGTGATATTACCTGCGAAAGTTTTTGATAGGGCCGGGGATTTAGCTCAGTGGTTTTGCAGCCTGCTGTGCAAGCGCAAGGACCCGAGTTCCATCCCCAGTACCAAAAAAAAAAGTTTTTGATGAAGGGGAGTGAGTTTTCTCATCTCTAAAATATGAGTAACGATTGTATCTAATAGAATGATTATGAGAATTAAATGAGATGTCTCTTGTAAAGTTACATATCATGGTGGTTGGCCCATAATGAACATTTGATAAATTTTATTATTAATTTTCAGTCCTTGGAAGGTTTTGACAGGGTCTTAGAAGTGACAGATGGATTATGTCACATGATGATGGTAGATGAAGGTAAATATTTCCAATTTAAATACACAATTCACATTTACTATGTTTAGCTATCTCCATCTGGGGAATTTCATATGTATTTCTGTTATTTATAACTACTTTGCAGTAATCATGGGAAAAATCAGTATAGCACAGTGATGAGAAGTCTGGGTTTTGGAGTTAGATAGTTCAAATCCTAGTTCCTCTGCTAATTTGCTGTGGGGCTTGGGCAAGTTATTTTTCTTATTCTGTCTGTTTAGTGTTTCTTCACATGTAAATTGATAATCACAATACTGATATATCCCAAAATGACTCTTGGTAACTTTTCCTGATGTTTTGCCCCCAGGATTAAAAAGAGTGGACATTTTGAAGTATCCTAACTATCGAGAGTGTTGAACAGTTGCACATTCTTGTCTTTTATTTTGAATTAAAAATTTTATTATGAAGTCTCTTATTTCATCAGAAGAGTAAAAATCCTGTATGTACACTTTGAGTAATAAAGGAAACAGTGGTGTAACTGCCACCTAGATTTGAGATGTAGAACATTATCAGGACTTCAGAAACTTACGTGTTCCTCTTGAATTTCATCTCTCTCCTTCCTTATTCTATCTTCTGTGGAAAGCATTCCTTGCTTTCGGAGTGATTTACCATCCATATATACGGTCCAGTGATGCATTATTTAGGTGCTTGCTTTTATGCTTTATACATTGAATACTTTAAGTTATATGTAATAATTTATAGTTTTATGAAACCATATAATAGTTCCTAATAAATTATTTCTTTTTTTCAACATTATTTGTGAAATTCTTCTATGTTGTTGTGTGTACCTCTTTTGGTTAATTTCTCTGTTGTATAGTATTCCAGTGTGTGTTTATATTATAATTTATCCTACGTGATATTTAGTTTCCGACTTTGTTATTATGAATACTGCTGCTTTGCATGTTCTTGACCTTCTCTCCTGGTGGAGGTTTACAAGGGTTTCCTCAAGCCTCAGAGGAATTGCTGGGTCATAGAGTGTGCACATATGTTTGTTGGTAATGCCCAACACTTTCTTCCCATAGTTTCCAGTACACAACACTTTTCTGGTTGCTGGCTTACCTTCCTTTTCCAGCTCTTAAATGTTGAAGTTCTTTAATCTTTGGTATTAGATCCTCCTTTTTTCTTACTTTACACTCTGCCAAGGGAACCTCATTAATTTTTCTAGGTTAAAAAAAAAAATTTTTTTTTTTTTTTCTAGGTTAGAACTTTTGAACTCCATATCCAAATATCCAGGTAGCCAGTTAACACCACCACTTGGTCGTAAAGGTACCCTGGACCTGACATTGTCCAAGTCTAGATTCAATGATCCGCCCCCCAATCCCCACCTAACCTGGTCTTTAGTTTTGCATATCTCAGTGGATGTTTCTACCATCCAGCATATTACTCAAACCAGAAGTCTGTGGGCACTTCAGATCCCTTCCTCATTTTCTATCCATCACCATATTTTGTCCAGTTTACTGCCTGAATTCCTCTTTCAACTCCTACTATTATAGGTCAAGTACCTCACCTTCTGTCTCATCTAGGATACTTCATTAGCCTTCAACTAGTTTCTGTGCATCCAGTTTTGGTCTTCTACTTATTCTTCCAACTATAGTTTTTTTTGTGCTGGGGATCGAACATGGGTCCTTGCACTTGCCCAGCAGGTGGCAAAACCACTGAGCTAAATCCCCGGCCCTTCCACCTATAGTTGAATAAAAACAACACAGAATAAAAGTATTCCCCCTGCTTCAGCCCTGCCTTTCAGTACCTTCCCCTTGCTGTCAGGATGAAGAAAAGGCTGATGGTGATTTGGCCCCTGCTGAACTTGTTAGTCCTAGCTGGAGAGTCGACCACCCCTCAGCACTTGGTCCTGCTATCAGACTCTTAAACATTGTTCTTTGGACTCTCTCCCTCCCTTTACATATGTATGGATTAGCCACTTTGCCATTGCTGGGACAAAATACCTGACACCTGCAACTTAAAGGATAAGGGGTTTATTGTGGCTCATGGATTCCCTCTATGGTCATTTGGCTCCAGGGTAGAAACAGGATGGTAGAAGGGCATGAGGGAAAGGTGCTCCACCCATGGCAGGCAGGAAGCAGAGAGAGAAAGGAGCAGCCATGGATGAACACACCTTTTTGAGTCATGCCCCCAGTGATCCATCCATTCTGACCAAGCCCCACCTCTTGAATGTAAGGCTTTTGGGGACATTTTAGATCCAAACCATAACATTGTTGGTCTCTCTATCTTGGATACTCCCTTTTTCTCCTCTTCTCACATTTAACTCTCATTTAGCTGTTGGATCTCAGTGTAAAATTCCTACCACAGAGAAGTCCTTCCCTGCCCTCCAGACCAGGTCAGGCATTTCCATTGTATGTGCTCAGGATAACCTGCGATTTTCTCCATGGCGATTGTCATTGCATGCATTTAAACATTTTGGTAAACACTTGATTAATGTCTGTCTCCATTAAATTATAAATCTACTATTTTTTTTTTTTTTGGTACGGGGATCAAACTTGGGTCCTTGCGCTTGCGAGGCTGGCGGCAAAACCACTGAGCTACATCCCTGGCCCCTTTTAGTTCTTAATAAGTATAGTTGAATAAATTAATGTTGACTAAATGAATATAAAATATCTAGCACATATCTCAGTGTCTGGCACCTACTAGGTACACAGTAAATGGCAGCTGTCCTTATTAGGAGCCTTCATGTCTTTCTTGTCTTTCTTATTCTTATAGGGTCCTGCTCAGTGTGCTGTTTGCTGTTTGCATTTTTTTTTTTTTTTGGTACTGGGGATCCAACTCTGGGACCTTGCGCTTGTGAGACAGTGGAACCACTGAGCTAAATCCCCAGCCCTTTTTGCATTTCTTTCTGAGGATTTTTCCTCGCTTTTTTTTCCCCCTCAATCTAGTAGAATGAGGACAATGATGGTCATTCACTGTTCATTCTTTGCTTACTCAGAGACTTGCTGAGAAGTATTTTACATATAGATAGTCTCATTTAATTCTCACAATTCTGAGGTAGGTACTCTTAATTATTTCCTTTTATAGTTGAACCTGAACATAAAGAGGCTAAGAAAGTTGCCTGAGGTTACCAACTGTCTTAGTCACTTCCCTTGTTGCTAGGACAAAATACCTGACATCCGCAATTTAAAGGAGAAGTTTATTTTGGCCCATAGTTTGTAGAAGTTTCAGTCCATAGTCAGCTGACTCCAAGGCAGGATGGTATGGCTCAGAGAGCAAAACAAAGAGATAGGGAGGGAGAGACCCTGTTCCAGGCCATGCCGCCAGTGACCAGATCCCACCTATAAGGCCCCATAATCTAGGCACCTTCTGGAAGTCCACCTTTGAGCACATGAGGCTTTGGGAGGACATCTAGGTATAAACCATAACACCAAGTTAGCAAGGGCTGGAGCTGGAATTTCAATCTGTCAGTCATTTCAAAGCCTACTCTTGTAACTTTAATAATGTGTAGTCCAAGACTGGTACAGTCAGCTCAGTGAGGACACTATGTGAATAAATATCCTTAACCTTGTGCCATTGTGGGCTAGAGGGAGGAGAAGGGAGAAGGTAGTCATTGGGAAGGCTAACAGAGCACATGCAGTTGGCACTGGGATGTAACCAGTAGGCAGAGGTGGGGTTGATGGAGAAGGGTGGGTGGACGTATCCCAAGCAGATGAACTTGTGGGAGGGAAGGTGGAATCTAAAATGAAAGTAGATTTAAAAAATAACCAAACTTTTCTTAATTTGGTGTCTTCTAGATTGTTTTGTGCCAGAATAATATCTGTAATCAGGCCCATATGAACCGAGTGGTCACCCATGAGCTCATTCATGCATTTGATCACTGTCGTGCTCATGTCAATTGGTTCACCAATGTCAGACATTTGGCATGTTCAGAGGTGAGTTTTATTGTAGAAGACACTTATTTTTTCCCTGAATACTCTGTATTAAAGTTTAATTTATTTAAATATATTCTTTTATTGTTATCGTTCCACCTTAGTCTTGAATTTCTGTTTTTAACTACTATTCAATATATTTTTGAGATATAACTGGAGAAGTTTTAAGTATATATTGATTGATTGATGGTTGGATAGATGGATTGGTTTTTTGAGAAAGGGTGTCACTTTGTAGTGCAGGCTGGCCTTGAACTTGTGATCCTCCTCCCTCAGCCTCAGAGTGCTGGGATTACAGGCATGTGCCACCATGCCCAGCATTAAGTATATTTTTAGAATTATCTTAAATATAGCCTTTAAGACCTAATAATACTTAAGATTAATTTTAATTGTAATAAGAAACTTTTTCCTATGGAATAAGTTATATAATATTAAAAATATAATAGTGAGCATTTACTGAGAGCTATGTGCCAAACATTATTCCCTCTGTGTGGTTTCTTTTCTTTTCTTTTCTTTTGGTACTGGGAATTGAACTCGGGTCCTTTCGCTTGTGCAGCAGGCGGCAAAACTACTGAGCTAAATCCCTGGCCCATGTGGTTTTTTACTTAATTTTTACAACAACCTATGGGGGAAGATACTATTGTTGTCTTTGTTTTATACATGTGGAGCGTGAAGCACTGCTTTGATTCCATAGTCAGTAAATGCCAGAGGCAAGGTTACAACCAGTGTTCTTACCAGGGCTGAAGTCCCTTCAGCTTTGGTGTCAAACCCCTTTATTTTCTTACTCTGCATCCTGTCACTTATTTCTTTTGAACTTTCCTTTTAATTGTCAGGAGTATTGAACATTATTGCACATCCTCGTCTTTTAAATTAAAATTTCTTAATTAAATTATAGTTTATCAGTATTAGTTTGCTGTGTTGCCTTCCATAGGTAAGTCTATCCTTGCCTGGAGTAAAAGGTATAGTTTCAAAAATATGACATAAAAAGGGTATTTATTATTAAGCACTTTGGATTGCTTTTAAAAGTATGCATATATATGCTCCTAGAGAGGTATATGTATTTCATACTTGCATTTCATTAGTTGAGTGCATTATGATGACAAATTTAAAAAGTAATGTAACTCTCAAGCTAATATTTTACACTTTAGATTATTTTCTCTTTCCCTTGATTAACAAATGACCCCACTGCATCTAATGATAATTTCTATTCTTTGGAAAGTAGACTAAAACTTGAGTTTTTAAATAGGTCTGTCTCTTGAGTGTTATGAGAATTACTTCCTGAAACAAAAAGTTACATTCTATGAAGCAAAAAGACCAAAGTTAGAACCTATGGAACAAAAGCAAACTCTTACCTCTGACCAGTAATCTCAGTGGGACCTCCAAAATGATATAGGGGGAAGAGATGTAACTCCCAAACCTACTAGATATCTGAAATGTGAGTATGTGTTCTCTAAAATCGAAAAATGAATTCTAGGAACAATGGAGGTTAAGAGTAGGAAAAATTTATTGGGAGAAAGAAAGCTTCTGCCTAAGAGAGATCGAAGGGGGACCAGAAAGTGGGTTGCCTGCCCACCCCACTTTTTAAAGATGTTTTATACAGCAAAGTCATGTGGTGAGGGGGTTACAAAGTGGGACAAAACCATAAGACCCAATGGAAATTTACAAGGTGGGCATGAAGTGGGACAAAACCATGACCAACCAGTAAGATAACAAGTACAGTCACCTGGGTAATATTGATTAAATGGGAATCAAATGGGAAGACAAGTCACATACAAGGAATTTCCCATTCAGAATATCAATTACTGCTATCTGTCTCTAGGGGAAGTAGTACTTCTTTTTTATAATGCTAACCAGTGAATGTGGCTCAGTTGTTCCTCATGTTGGTTCCTTGCTGTGTTGGCTCCTGGAGGGCTGGCGCCTTAAGGGAGGCCCTGTCTACCTGCCAACAAGATATCTAATTAACTTACCTATCTATAATAGTTTCAGTTGCCCATTTTTTGATTGGGTCTTTTATTTTGAGGGTTTTAATTTTTTTGAGTTCTTTTTGCTTTCTACATATTAGTTCTCTGAGGAATAGCTGGCAAAATTTTTTCCCATTCTGTAGGTTGTCTCTTCATTGTTTTGGGTGTGCAGAAGCTTTTTAATTTGATATAATCCCATTTGTTGATTCCTTGTATTACTTCTTGTGCCACTGGGGTTCTGTCCAGAAAATGTGCCTGTGACTGTGTCTTCAAGAGTTTTACCAGTTTTATCTTTCAGCAGATTGTTTCTATTTTAACATTTGATCTTTGATCTTTTTTATATTTTAGTTTAGTATATTTTGAGATGTATGAGTCAAGACTCAAGTCTTATGCATGTGGATATACAAATTTCCCAATACCATCTATTAGAGAGGCTCTCTTTCTTCCAGTATGTTTTTGGCCCTTTGTCATAGTTCATATAGCTGAGTGTGTTTTTTGCTTCCTCTAGTCTGTTTCATTGATACACATTTCTGTTTTTGTGCCAATACCATGCTGTTTTTTATCACTGTAGCTTTGTAATAACTTCAGATCTGGGATTATGATGTTTCCTGCTCTGTTATTGTTACCCAGAATTTCTTTTGCTAATCTAGGTCTCTTTTGGCTACATATGAATTTTTGGATTGTTTTCTGTGAGGACTGGATTGTTTTAGATTATAGATCCATGAGGAATGCTGTAGATATTTTGATTGGGATTGTGTTAAATCTACATATTAGTTTTGGAAGTATGGCCATTTTAACTATATTAGTTCTGCCTATCCAAGAACATGGGATATCTTTCCATTTTCTAATGTCTTCTTCGCTCTCCTTTTTCAGAGTGGTGTAATTTTTGTTGTAGAGGTCTTTTTGGCATTGTTTAGCATAGCCCATGGATGTCTGCTCTTATTATCAGTAGTGTTTAAAAATTCTTTAAAAGAAAGCATTATACATACTGTGTTCTTGGAAAACCATGCTAATTTTATATTCTTTTCCAGTTTTAAAAAATTGGTTGATGTAAGGATATAGTGGATGAGGATCATTTTCTTTTCCTTTGCCTTCTGTCTTTGTGACAGGTTCGAGCTGCTAACCTCAGTGGAGAGTGTTCACTTGTAAATGAAATATTCAGGTTGCATTTTGGATTAAAACGACATCATCAGGTAAAAACGAAATCACCTTCCCTCAAGAGCGTTATGAGTGTAGGGCCGGGGATTTAGCTCAGTGGTTTTGCCACCTGCTGTGCAAGTGCAAGGATCTGAGTTCTATCCCCACTACCAAAAAAAAATGTTGTGAGTGGAAATAACAAATAAGAAATGAAATAACATTTAGTGTTCAACATTTGAAAGAATCACCTATGTGAAAAGAATATAAAATGTGTATATTTAAACCTAGTAGATAGAATTTAGTTTTACTTTATAATTATAGGCAAGCTGTGTGAGTGACTGGGAGATGTTAGTAGTGAAGGGTATTAGGATCTTTTTTTTTTTTTTTTGGTACCAGGGATCAAACTCAGGTCCTTGCGCTTGCGCAGCAGGCAGCAAAACCACTGAGCTAAATCCCCCGGCCCTGGGTGTTAGGATATTGCTTCTGAGATACTTTTGGATGGGGCTACATGAGGAATGGAAGTGATATCACAACCTGTCTTTTATCCTAACAGTCCTGTTTCTCTATTTGGAAAGTACCACAGTATCCTGGAGACAGGAAACATAATTCCTTTCAGAACAGAGAATGCCTTGCAGCACGGGTCATGGCTATGTGTCAGTGCGCCTTGAAAGGTTGTGACATGATAGAAAAGCTTTTCTTTTTTTTTTTTGTACTGAGGATCAAACTTGGGTCCTTGCGCTTGCACAGCAGGTGGCGAAACCACTGAGCTAGATCCCTGGCCCATAGAAAAGCTTTTGAGTGGTACAGACTTGGTTATGATGAACTGAACTGAGAGGAATTTTCTAAACAAAATTTAATAAACGAAGAAGAAAACTGCAAGTCAAGACTGTCCTCCCAGAAAGCCTTTAAGATCCACAGTGAATGGACCTGGGAAGAGGTATGGTGGAGCTCATGGGTTGGTAATGAATGTGAGCAGTGCTGCCCACAGCAACACAGGCTCTGTTCCACACCTTGGAGGAAGGGTGGGCAGAGGTTTCCTGTGGGCAGAGCTTGCTAGGCCACTTTGTGAAGTACAGGGGCATCAGGAGAGCAGTTTCATTCAGATGTAAAAAGGATAATCTTGGAATAACATGCAGGCCTTTGGTTTTCTAGTCAAGAGAGTAACTGGACTCTAGGGTGAAGGTGTAGAGTGACAGTGAGCTATGGAGTGACACTGTGAACTTAGTGAATGGGAGATGGAAGAAAAGCCTGCTCCTGCTCAGGGTAATGGTCTCACTGATTGCTAACTTCCAGCCTGTACCGACTTGTCTTGGCCACATGTCTTCTCTGCCCTCAAACCTCTGCTTCTCCAGTAACTTCTGTGTATCTGGCTTGAAACGGAGAAGATGGAAACAGTACTTATCAGAACATCCTTGGAATTCATAGTAAGAAAATGAGATTAAAGCATGTGGCCCAGGGTTTTATAGTCTTTGAAAGAGAAGGCTTTCCTTTTTTGTTTTGTTTTTTTTTTTTTGTCCTGGGGATCAAACTTAGGACCTTGTGCTTTCAAGGCAGGTGGTGGAACCACTGAGCTAAATCTCTGGCCCAGTCTTTCCTTTTTTTATTGTTGAGTAGCAGCAGGCTGAAATAAGTAGGACTAGCAATATGACGGAAATATGTGGAGGTAGTAGACTTGAGCTGAGGGGAGAGAGTCTTGGAAAACAGAGTCCTTGCTTCTGAAACTAAGAAATGTAAGGCGTAATAATGGGCTGTAAGACTGCACAGTTATGTTTTTATTTTAACAAAAATGTTTTACATCTGGACAAAAGTAAATTTGAATTGTGGTCTACACTTTTGTCTCCTGACCATTTGGCTCTAGGAGACAGATTTTTGACTCTGTTTCCTGTGCCCTGGGATGGAGATGTTTCTTCTCATTTGGCACTGGCTATTGTGGCTCCTTATGCTTTTTCCTTTCCTTGTTCCTTTATACCTGGGATTGCTTTTTTTTTTTTTTTTTCCTGGTACTGAGGAGCAAACTTAGGACCTTGCACTTGCCAGGCAGGCGCGGTGCCACTGGGCTACATCCCTGGCCCTGGAATTGCTTTTCTTTTTGGGTGCCGGGGATCAAACTCAAGACCTTGAGCTTGTGAGGCAGGTGGTGGCACCACTGAGCTAAATCCCTGGCAGGGATTGCTTTTTAAAATTAATTTTATTTTTTGGTATCAGGGATTGAACTCAGGACCTTGTGCTTGTGAGGCAGGTGCAGTGCCACTGAGCTAAATCCCCAGCCCTAAAGTTAATATTTGATGTAATATAGGTTTATATTCCAGTGCTAGTGAGTATCTCCAGCTTGAGCATACTGAGCAGGCTAAAGTAAAACTGAAAACAGAGAACAGATTGGTGATTGTCAGGATGCACAGCCATCAAAACAAGTATTTGAGTTGTTTTTCTTTTTTTGAAAAGATGAAATTCTTTTTTTTTTTGGTGCCAGGGATTGAACTTGGATCCTTGCACTTGCGGGGCATGGGAAAAGATCAAATTCTTTTCTTTTGAATTTTAGTTTGGACCTGAGGAGAAATAAATGGATTAAAAACTCTTTAAGATTTGGAATGACAGTCTTATACTTCTCAAAATATTTAAGTTGAAGTACTGAGAAATTTTAGTCTATGATTGTGTAATATTAATTAAATTATTTTCATACAATTAGAACTTTATTAGCTATGCAAATAACATTCAGGAAAAAAGTTGTTTATTTATTTATCTTTTTGTGGCACTGGGGATTAAAGCCAGGGCCTTTGCACTGAGCTACATCCCCAGCCCTTTTTTATTTTTTATTTCTGAGTCAGGATCTCACTAAGGGCCAGGCTGGGCTTGAATTTATGACCTTCTTGGCTCAGCCTTCTAGATTGCTGGGATTACAGGATTACAGGCATGTGCCACCATGCCTGGCTTAATTTTTTTCTGTTTAAAAATTAAGGTACTCTCCAAATTTAGGTCCATATGTGTGTGTTTTCTGTTGCACCCAGGGAAAGGAATTTTCTTTTTGAAGAAAAAGTTATCAAGCATCATTCACCCAAAAGTTAAGGAAGAGAGGTGCAGATGTGAAGTATGTATATTTAAAATTTGATTAGATTACAGAAAAGCCAGTCAGGACCTTACTTACAGTCTTTTTTGTGATTTTGCAAATTGGGACAAACACTGACTGTTTATACTATTGGAAAAGATGAGAAAATGAAGGTCTTACTTATGTTTAAATAATTTGAAATTGAGCTAAGTATGTTCCATAATTTGATTTGGTTTTTTTTTTTGGTACCAGGGATCGAACTCGGGTCCTTGCGCTTGCGAAGCAGGTGCCAGAACCACTGAGCTAAATCCCCGGCTATGTTCCATAATTTGAGAGTTACATTTCTTTCTTAATTTTGTTTTCTTCTTTGGAATGACAGGAATTAATAAAATGAGAGGAAGTTAATTTTAATTGTGGTTCAGATGATATATAAAATGATATTTTATGATTAAATTTTCACAGAAAATTAAAGCTGCATACTTTTCCTTTTCCTTAGACTTGTGTGCGAGACAGAGCTATTCTTTCTATCCTGGCTGTTAGGAATATCAGCAAAGAAGTAGCTGAGAAGGCTGTTGATGAAGTTTTTGAATCTTGTTTCAATGACCATGAGCCTTTTGGAAGGATCCCACATAACCAGACTTATGCAAGATATGCTCATAGAGACTTTCAAAACCGTGATCGATATTACTCCAATATATGAAGACAATGACATTTTATATCACAGAGCCTCAGTGATCATGAAGAAACAAATACGGTTCTCAAGTGATCAAATGTATAAAATGTAAATGATCAATTAAATACACAAAGATCCAGAATATGCTGATTTTAGCATATGATCAGAAAACTTCGGAAAAAAATGAAACTGCCTTAAACTCCAAGGCAAAAATGGTATCTTTATAGTATATCTATATACTTTATTTGATAAATAAGATAAATAAATTACATTTTTGTACTTCCTACAGTGTATTTGTGTTTTTTCTTTTTTGGTACTGGGGATCAAACTCGGGTCCTTGCACTTGTGCAGCAGGTGGCAAAACCACTGAGCTAAATCCCCGGCCCTGTGTTTTTAATATTTTATTTATATTATTGTGATTGTTTTTATTACTTGAGATTATTTCAGAATTTGGTTGTGAAACCTGTGAAATTTGCTCTTGAATGATGTTGGTTGGTAGTCCAAGATTGCATTTACATTAAATATAAAGAAAAGTGAACTGATTTTATTGTAAGATATTTGTTGGGATGTCATGATCAACACATGGAAAGAGTGAAAGTTGAGAATAATTCATTTAAAGGTCATTGCCATTTTCTTCCTATTCTTTCAGTATATTTGTGGGGGGATGGTATAGCTTAATTTGGGGGGGGAACAGTCCTGATTTCTTAGTAAAGGTACATTAAATTTATAAAATAATTTAGCTTAATTTTTATATAAGATTTTTCATATACTTGTTTCAGATCTGTTGTCAGGCCCTGTGTTAGACTTTTGGGCTCAGCAAATATTGTCACCTTATCTATACCCCTTAACAGAGGCATCACCTGGATTTTCTATCTGTTTCTTGAAAACATTACTTGGATTACATCCAGACTGAAAGTTAACGATACCAATGTGTAGATGTAGCTGAGTAGAGCTTTGAAGAAAATGAAGTTAGCAAGATTCTTTTGAAGAATTTAAAATTTGATTAAATACAAATTATAAAGTGCTGCCTTAAGCCTAGTAATTTATTAGACAATGAGAACAAGGTTTGGAAGTTATGGGAAGGGTAGAGTAGGAAATGCCAGAAATGTCTCCTGCCTGAGCAACACTTGCACATAGCAGAATCTGTCTGAGGTAACTGTTTTGCAACTTGAGTTCACTGAAGGCTTGTAACTTCCAGGGAGAAGCTTGGGTGGTAAATTATGGTTGATTTCAGTCAATTTTAACCCTTAACACAGTAGCATCTACTGATCCCCACTCCTGTGGGAGGTGGCTATTCATGTATTCCTGGAGCAGTTTGCACAGAACTTGTAGGAGACCAGGGTGAGCAAAAAAGGGCCTTGTTCTCCAACTACCAGGGATCGGGGCTCTGAAGGCTCATTGCTCCTTCTGATCATAGAGGTGCAAAGAGGTAGGCAACCACTGTACCTCCCCTGATGCTTTACACCCCCTTTACCTATGAAGTGAGCAGAGGTTTAACAGGCTTGGGTCTTTATTACCCCCTTTATTTTTCTCTCCCCATCCCCCTTTTTGGGAGCCAGAGATTGACGACTAGAATTTCAAAAGAAAGGTAATATACCAAGGAAATAAGAAAGCCACTGAGCATGGCCAGGGGAATGCACAGTTTAGAAAGATCTGAAGTTTGTACTTCAGGCTGATCAGTCCAGGGACAGCTTACACCCATGAAAACAAACCAGCAAATCTCAAAGAAGAGGATAGTCTTAATTTCTACATTATGCAGTTCAGATGTCCTGTTTTCTACAAAAAATCACAAGACACACAGAGGAAAATATGGCCTGTTTAAAGGAAATGACAACAAAAATAAAAACTGTATATTTCCCAGGCTGGCCTCAGACTGTACTCAAGTGATGTTCTGCCTCAGGCTCTGAAGTATCTGGAACTTAGAGGTATATACTGTTGTGCCTGGCTTAAGATAGAAACTTTAAACAACTATTTTCTTTTTTTGGTACCAGGGATCAAACTCCGGACCTTGCGCTTAGGCAGGCAGCGGAACCACTGAGCTAAATCCGCAGCCCTTAAACAACTATTTTAAACATGATCAAAGAACTAAGGGAAAGGGCGGGGGATTTAGCTCAGTGGTTTCATCGCCTGCTGCGCAAGTGCAAGGACCCGAGTTTGATCCCTGGTACCAAAAAAACAAAAAAGAGAACTAAGGGAAGACTGGAGCAAGTCAGTAAAAGTATAAACAAATGGTAATATTAAAGATAGAAAAAAAAGGTGGGTGTGGTGGTGCAACATCTATAATCCTAGCACTCTGGAAGGCTGAGGCAGGAGAATCACAAATTTGAGCCTATCCTGTGCAATTTAGAGACCGGACCTGGCTCAAAATTTGAAAAGGGCTGGGGATGTATCTGTGAAGGCCCTGGGTTTAATCCCTACTACTGAAAAACAAAAACAAAAAATATCTCTAGCTGAAAGTTACAGTAACTGAAATAAATTCACTAGAAGGATTAAAGTCAGATGTGAGAATTCAGAAGAGAGACTCAGTGAATCTGAAGAAAGGACAGTGAAAATTAATGAGTCTGAGGGACAGAAAGGAAAAAAGATCAAAGAAAAGTGAACAGAGCCTAATGGACCTGTGGAATACTATCAAATGGACCAACATATATATTGCTGGGGTCCTAGAGAATATTTGAAGAAATAATAGCTGAAAATTGCCTAAATTGGATGAAAAACATTATCATTAGCATTTAACAAACTTAATGAACTAGGATGAACTCAAAGAGACATTAAGATAGTATAATCAAACTGTCTAAAGACAGAAAATTTTGAAAGCAGGAGAAGGCACTCATCACATACAAGGAATTCTCAGAAAGGTTATAATTCTCATTAAAAACCTGAGGCTAGAAGAGAGTAGGCTGATATAATTAAAGTGTAAAGAAATAAAGTATTAATAATTCTATATGTGGCAGTTCTATGTATGTCCTTCAGAAGGGTGGGATATATTAAGACATTCTCAAATAAAGAAAGGCTTGTTATCAGTAGACATGCCCTGCAAGAAATACTAAGATGAATCCTGTAGTTTGAAATCAGAGGATACTAGACAATAAATGGAAGAAACAAAGATTTTAAGCTGGGCATGATGATCCATGCCCGTTATCCCAGCACTCTGGGAGGATCACAAGTTCAAGCCCAGCCTGGGCAATTTAGTGAGACTATGTCTCAAAATAAAAAGGAAAAAATGAGCTGGCAATGTAGCTCAGTGTGAAGGACCTGGGTTCCATCTCTAGTACAACCACAAAGATTTTTTTTCAGTTAAGGTAAGTTCATGGACAATATAAAACTAGATTTTTTAACATGGATGTATAACTTTGATTTTTGTTTTCTATATGAATTAAGAGAATAATACATGAAAAATGACTACTCTAAAAGGTAATAGTATTGTACTTTGATCTGTAACTCTACATTTTGTTTTCTGTCTAAGAGACTGATGCATTAAAATTATAATTATGTTTTTGGACACAATGTATTAAGAATTTTGTGATATCAACTTAAAGGGGTGAGGATGGAAATGTTAAGGGGACAATGGTTTTATATATTACTGAAGTTAATCTGGTATAAATTCAAGTTAGAATGTTATAACTTTAGGATCTTAAATGTCTCCATACATAAAGAAAATAGGTAAATATATACAAAAAAAGGAAATGTGAAAGAGGTTTAAAATATTTCACTGTAAAAATCAAGTAAACAAAAGATGATAAAACAGGAAGTGAAATATAAAAGTTCAGTAATACTTTGGTTATGAGTGGTTCTGTTTGCAAACAATGTGGTTCAAAAAAAAGCGTTCATCTAAACTTTTCTTCTGTTGGCAAACTGCATTAGGTGACAAACATGACCAATGGCTATTTTCCACATATAAACATAAATGTAGCCATCTTCCCCAAAATTGTAAAACAAATTAAGTTCGTAAACTGAGGTACCACTGCACTTTATACCATACTGAAAAGAAAAATGACAGAATTCCCTTCTTGTCAGTAATTACTTTCAATGTAAATGGGTTTAACTCTCAAGTCAAAAGAGATTTTCAGAAGGGTAAAAAGCGATTCAAAAATATGATGTCTACAGGAGGAATTTGTTTTATATCCAAAGATACAAATTTGTTGAAAGTGAAAGGATGGAAAAGGATAGTCCATGCAAATGGTGACCAAAAGAGAGCAGGTGATTACACCAAATATCAGACAAGTTACAAGAGACCGAGAAGGACACTGTGTATTAATGAAAGGTTCCATACAGCCAGGAAAATATAATTATTGTAAACATTTATGTACCTAATGATGGGCTATCAAAATATGTGAAGCAAAAATTGACACACAAGGTAGAAATTGTCCTACAATAATAGAGAGGGGCCGGGGATTTAGCTCAGTGGCAAGTGCAAGGTCCTGAGTTTGATCCCTGGTTCTGGGGAAAAAAAAAAAAGGAGAGTTTAATAACAGCTGGACAAAAAAACAAGTAAGGAAATGGGGGACCCACAAATGGTCTCTTCTGGTCTGGTCTCCTTCCCTGTACCCCTAGCTTGCTATCACCTCTTCATACCCAGGTTTCACTTTAAATGTCACTTCCTTTGGACATTTTCTCTTGAGCCTCCAGCCTCTGTTGAGTGTCACGTTATTATCTCCAAATCATCTTGTACCTCTTTGGTATAGCTGTTCCCCATAGCAACAAAGACCCAGTTAGTGTTGATCACTCCTGAGTCTTTTGTGCTTATATCAGTATGTAATAGCCAGTGAGTGCTTGATAAATATTTACTGAATAAATACAGCATCTCTATTTCCCCTATTATAGTTTGTGTCTAGACATCCCCCTGAAGCCTCATGTGGTCATAGGCTTTTTTAGAGGTGGCTTGATCTAGAGTGTGTGATGCTGGAATTGATTCATGATGCAATGCTAGGCTCAAGGGCGCTAGGATTAAGGGTGTGAGTGCTACCTGGCCTAAGTAGTCTGGATAAGATAAAAGGGGCAGAAAGCCGCTGTTAAGTTCCCTTGCTGCCTTTGCTGTCTTCTGCTGCCGTGAACTGTTGCCCCTCTGCCATGTGCTACTCTGCCTTGGAGCCAGCTGATTATGAACTGAAACCTCTACAAACTGTGAGTTAAATAAATCCTTCCCCCTCTAACTTTGGGTGTTGGGTGTTTTGTCTCAGCAATGAGAGAAAGTAACTAAGACACCCCTCTGATTAGTTCCCTCATGCATCATTGAGATAATGAGCTGTAGTTCTCATGGTGAGCTCTGAGTACAGCCATCTTGACTCT